ATTGAAGATAGACCAGCCCCTGCCTAATGTCACCTTGATATAATTTTGGAACATGTGTGATTAAAGATGATGTGAAAAGTGCATGAGATCAGTTTAGAAGTCATTAATTAACTTTCATGCAAAATGCATATCCCTTTCACCATCTGGAAGTGATGAAAGTTTGCTCGACTCTGACAGAGAACTGGAGATGACACTTTGAGACAACAACTGGAAGACGTGAACTCGCTGACAGAGGAACTGATTGATAGGACTATGACCAAATTTTTAGAACAGGTGAAAGATGGCAGTTGGACAACAGGTGGATGGTCTCAAGTAAACACTGACTACTCAGTGTCAAAACTTGTTGTGAATGCATACACAAGGTTTATGGCAAAGACACTTTCAGATCGCCCAGAGGGTCAGAAGATATACATCAATTGTAAATCAATTAAAATTTAGTGAAAGAATCAATTAAAATCCAAGAGAAACATAATTTCAACAAATTATACCCCAAAAAATAGGTACACAAAAAATTCATAATAATAATAAATAATGGTAGATTACACAAATTTTCTCTCAGTAATTCCAACAAACACTTGGTGTCCAACAAACTCTCGGTGTTTGTTTATGCTCTGTGTGTGTGTGTGTAAGCGATGTGTGTGATGTGGGTGCGTGGGTGCTGGGTCTGTGTTAGGTGTGTGTGTGCTNTACTGGACGAGAGAACGAGAAAGAGAGAGAGAGAGAGAGTGTGTGTCGCTGCTGGACTCACTGGACTGGAGGCTTGGTCCGTGGAGACCTTTGCCGTTAGGTTTGGGTGGAGTGGAGGCCAGAGGGGAGAACGAAATTGAAGTTAGGGGTCAGATGGGGTCCTCTCTCTTTTATATTTTCACATTTTTATTTTCATATTATATTTATATTTATATGTAGTATATAATATATAATTTTTTTTTAAACAATAAACTGGAATTACATTTGACTAAAAAAATGATGATTAACCAAAATATACGAAAACCTGAACTTTGGATGGAGAACAGCTGACCCAACTCATCAAACGAAAAGAGTTGGTCATAACAGATACTATACTCATTGAGCTGCCCTATTTTATGCCCTTGGCTCATATGAAAAACTTAAAGAGATTTTGCATAATGCCTGTTGTCTTCCAAGAAGGCGTGGATTTGCCATGATGAAACTCCCTCTGTTGAGCTGACTTTGATAACCTCAATATTATCACACTCAATAGTAGCTTGTTGCAAAAAGAGGGCTTGTGTCCACAAGCATGCTTGCCATACTGCAGCTGCTTCAAAATAAAAGCTTGATACCGTCGGTATGCTTTTGGCTATGCCATCCACAACTATTCCATTCGAGTCCTTTACTATAATGTCAACTGTTGCTTTATCTCCCTTAAAATCGCCATCACAACTAATACAATCACCAACTCGCAGAATGAGCTTCTGTCTGAGATTTATTGTCAAGAGAGATTACCTCATGCCATAGATTTTGTGCTCACAGAACTGTGGCCAAAGCATTTGGATCTCCTTTGATTGAATTGTTTCTGATTTCGGGCCTTCTAAATAGTCCATCCAATTATAACGATTTTCCCCAAAATTCCCATTGAGTGAGATAAATCATCAGTTGAATCCAGCAGAGAGGATGACTATGGAGAGAGTGAGATAGGTAGTTTCAAACCAAACGATAGCCTATATCTGAGCCAAACCAAACATTCTTTGTTCATTCACATTCCAATAGCATGTGCTCTATTGATTCTGGATTCTTCATACATAGAGTACACATTGGGGACAACGCACATTCCCTCTTAAGAAGTTTTTCCTTGGTGGCTAAAGCATTATTACATGCCTTCCACCGTAAGTGTTTATCCTTTGGGAGAGAGTCTTCATATGCCAAATCACATGCTATAGTTTTGGATGAGGTATATATAGTAGGGTGATGCTATTCCCATCCCCATAAATATCCCTTCTCATTCTATTAAATTTTTTTATTTTTAAACAACTAAATCCACCATTTGTATACCCATCTCATTTTAACTAAATCCACGTCATTTTATATACAACTCTTTAATAATAAACCCACATTTTATCTTATTAGAACTGAAGTTTCATTCACTATCTTCTCTCATACACTATACATAAAAAGAACTTTTTCAATATGGATTGATAAGTAAGATAAATACATCACTTTTTATATATGTACATTATCCAAGCTAACATGGCTTCTATCAAAACAACCTCCGTTACATTAACAAGAGGAGTAGCAGTTTGTGTTGCTATAGTGTGAATCAACGAAAACTGTTGAATATATTTTGGAGAATAATTTATATGTACAATTATAAGTAATCAATGAATTTACATTGCTTTGTTTTTTCTTTCTTGTTGCAAACTTGTATGAATACATATATATATATATATATATATATGTATACACACATATATAAACCTAAATCAAAAATAATTAAGCTTGACGGAATATCAAAACATTAAAAAAAAAAATACAAATAACATACATGAAATCAAACAAAAAATTAAACTAACATGTTTCTCATTAGAGAAATCCATATTGAAAAGACTCTTTCGTGTCGGTGTATGAGATGAAATAATGAACTGAAACCCTAATTTTGAGAAAATAGAAAGTGGACTTGTTATTAAATATGTGTGTATAGCATGAGATTGACTTACTTAAAATAAGGATGAGTATAGAAGGGATTGATTTAGTAGTTTGCTTAAAAAATTTAATGGGGGTGAGAACGAGTATTTGTGAGGGTGGAATAGCCTCACCCACCCTATATAGTTATATATGTTTTGCTAATAATATAGGGAAAGCCTACGGTATTGTTGGCGGTCCCGCATCAAAAATTATAACTTTTTAAGACTAAATTATAATTTTTTGAGGTGTAAGTTACAACTTTTAAAAAGCATGATTAATCATCTGAGATTGAGGTGGATACCAAAATTACAACTTTTAAAGGTTAGATTAGAACTTTTAAATATCAACTTACAATTTATAAGAGATAAGTTACAACTATTAAAGGGGAGCCCATGATCGATCGTGGGTGTTTGTGACTTTCAAATATATAATTTTACCATAAAAAATTATTATCAATGGTACGGTACCAATTTTTTTTTTTTTAGTACCGTAGACTTTCCAAATAATATATGTTCTTATCATATATATTTTTACATTTTTATGTGTTCTTATTATAATTTATATAAAATTATTAATTAATAAAGTCAGAGTCAAAGCTTTTTTGAAAAGAATTTCCAACTCCGACTCTTTTAAATTTCACTTGGAGTCGATGCCAGATTTTTCGAATACTTGCACACTCCTAATGCACGAAAGAGAAATGTTAGTATTTGTGAAAAGTAGAAAGAAAAATATTATTTGGATTTAAAATGTTGACATCATTTATTGACTTGATGAATCTTAATAAATATTAAAATCCATAACTAAAGTAATGACAATGATTAGAGGTGACAATCTTAACTTATTATCTATTAATCTGTCTAACCCGTCCATAAATAAATGGGTTGGATAACTATATTAATTAATATGAATTTTAAATGGATTGGGTAATATGATTCATTTAAAAACGAGTTAATATTAATTACAAATGGGTACCCATTAAGTTGAGTATTTATCTTTTTATTAAATAACACAAGTAATAAAATTAAATAAATATACTAAAAAAATACACACTATTACACCAAAAAATACACATATATACTAATTCACCAAAACATACACACATTAGTACATAAAAAAAAATACACTAATACATCACTCATGACCCATAGATCGACCCAGACTCATGAGTTGACCCACAGACCAACCCATAACCCACAATCGACCCTGTCTATTATGTGTGTATTTTTTTTATTACATGTGTTTTTGTTTTTTGTGTTAATATATGTATATGTACTAGTAATTACCCGTGCCTAAAGACACTATATAACAAATAAAAAATCGCAAATAAATGTTCATTCTTGTCAACCTAATCTTTGTTGCTTCCTTGAATTTTAGATGACTCTGCCGTTAACTATTCCTCAAAGCAATGATACCAAATTTTCTTACTTAGTGCATAATTAAATCAAAAAACATATAATAAATCAACCGCAATAATCATAAACTTTTCAAAGCCACAAAATTCAGTCATACATTCTCAACTATGATATTTACCTAATATTTTATACACGAATCTTATGCAAAATAACTTGATTGTAGACAAAAAACATCACATGAAATTAGAATAAAAATAAATAACAGTTTTACATAATTTGAATCCAATAAAAACAACAACTGGATTGTAGTCCCTCTTTCACGAAATGTGCTTCCATTGGCTTTGAAGAGAACATCAAGCCCACGTTTGTATAGATCCAATCAGCAAAGCCTTTGCCACCTAAACTACAATGAAGAAATCAAAACAATAATATCACATGGATGTAAAAATCATTCTTAGTATCTTTTAATACAAAGATCATCCCTATATAGTTTTAGCATTATACCATGACAGACTGAAGTAATACATTTCGGTACAATTTCTGTAGAAAACCTCACCGAATGGAAGTAACAACTCTACAATAACAAAATAATTCCAAACTATTAATGCATAAAACCCCAATGTCACCACCAATTCATAATATATTACAAGGTTTAAAAAAATATAACTTCATATCACACTCAAAAGTGAAGCAATATATTACTATAACAACAATTCATTATCCAAAAAGTATAGCTGAATCCACTAAAAGCTGCCATTATTTCTTTACTTCATACAAGATTCATGTACTTAAAACTGGGAAATAAAGAAAAAAGACACAATCATAATTGTTTACCACAACAAAGCATCAAAAGAAAGTAATCAAACTATAATACCTCCCTCTCATTCTTCTTGTAGAACTTGAGAAGTGGATTTATGCACCTAATGTACTACTCAAGCATTGTAACCATGGACTGCCCTCTATGGCTATCCTCTTTGCTACCTCGGTTGTTTCATCCAACTCTTGTCTCCCCTCATTCAACAACCTTCTCAAAATTGACCAACATATCAACACATCATAAATTTTCCATAGACCGACAACTCTTACCTCATTTTTTTCCTATTGAGAAATAGTGAACTACTTGTAATTGAAAATCATAGAAAATAGATAATCTGCATTAACAAACAAAACTATGAGTTTACTTAATTGAACCCTCTAAGGCCGCCTCTTGAAATTTTTTTGCTTATGTATCTGATTGTTGTTCTTATATTATCTTTTTGTTGAGTTTTGTTTTGGTTACTCCATGGGCGGCGATGTTTTTGAGTTTGACGAGTCTATCACTCTGATCCAGAGATCAAAACACTGATGACAATTGACCCCTTTGCTGTTTCATGTGAAATGTGTCGTTTTATTTCTTCAAGTGGGTATATTTCTTCAATTGCGTGTTTAAATGTGTATGTACACACTTGTGTATATGACCCTTATGTACACACTTTTGTATATGGTGCGGTTCATTGTTCTATTCTGCTTTGCTTTGTGGTTTTTGATGTTTTGGGGCAAAATTCATATTGAGAATTTTGTGTGAACTCCTCTCGATATATACACTGAATAAAAAAACTTCTGCGTATAAAAAAAAAAAACTTAATTGAATCCATAAAGTGAAAAACAAAATTTTAATTGTTAAATCCTTAAAAANACGACAATGATTAGAGGTGACAATCTTAACTTATTATCTATTAATCTGTCTAACCCGTCCATAAATAAATGGGTTGGATAACTATATTAATTAATATGAATTTTAAATGGATTGGGTAATATGATTCATTTAAAAACGAGTTAATATTAATTACAAATGGGTACCCATTAAGTTGAGTATTTATCTTTTTATTAAATAACACAAGTAATAAAATTAAATAAATATACTAAAAAAATACACACTATTACACCAAAAAATACACATATATACTAATTCACCAAAACATACACACANTTATATGCCCATTCAATGCATAGAACATAATCTAACCTATATAAAAACTAATCCAATTTCATGACTCCAAACCAAGCTAATTCACTTTTTCCCAACTGAATATTAATTGCCTATATGCACCATTTTGAATCAAGTAACCAAAACAATCAACTATTGAATTTAAACCCAAGCACATTTATGGACAACCTTTAACGAAATATATAAGCCATTGTGAGACTTACCTTGAAGCCCTTGTTGAAAGATAGCAAATGAGAATGAACTNACTAGTACATAAAAAAAATACACTAATACATCACTCATGACCCACAAATCGACCCAGACTCATGAGTTGACCCACAAACCAACCCATAACCCACAATCGACCCTATCTATTATGTGTGTATTTTTTTTATTACATGTGTTTTTGTTTTTTGTGTTAATATATGTATATGTATTAGTAATTACCCGTGCCTAAAGACACTATATAACAAATAAAAAATCGCAAATAAATGTTGATTCTTGTCAACCTAATCTTTGTTGCTTCCTTGAATTTTAGATGACTCTGCCGTTAACTATTCCTCAAAGCAATGATACCAAATTTTCTTACTTAGTGCATAATTAAATCAAAAAACATATAATAAATCAACCGCAATAATCATAAACTTTTCAAAGCCACAAAATTCAGTCATACATTCTCAACTATGATATTTACCTAATATTTTATACACGAATCTTATGCAAAATAACTTGATTGTAGACAAAAAACATCACATGAAATTAGAATAAAAATAAATAACAGTTTTACATAATTTGAATCCAATAAAAACAACAACTGGATTGTAGTCCCTCTTTCACGAAATGTGCTTCCATTGGCTTTGAAGAGAACATCAAGCCCACGTTTGTATAGATCCAATCAGCAAAGCCTTTGCCACCTAAACTACAATGAAGAAATCAAAACAATAATATCACATGGATGTAAAAATCATTCTTAGTATCTTTTAATACAAAGATCATCCCTATATAGTTTTAGCATTATACCATGACAGACTGAAGTAATACATTTCGGTACAATTTCTGTAGAAAACCTCACCGAATGGAAGTAACAACTCTACAATAACAAAATAATTCCAAACTATTAATGCATAAAACCCCAATGTCACCACCAATTCATAATATATTACAAGGTTTAAAAAAATATAACTTCATATCACACTCAAAAGTGAAGCAATATATTACTATAACAACAATTCATTATCCAAAAAGTATAGCTGAATCCACTAAAAGCTGCCATTATTTCTTAACTTCATACAAGATTCATGTACTTAAAACTGGGAAATAAAGAAAAAAGACACAATCATAATTGTTTACCACAACAAAGCATCAAAAGAAAGTAATCAAACTATAATACCTCCCTCTCATTCTTCCTGTAGAACTTGAGAAGTGGATTTATGCACCTAATGTACTACTCAAGCATTGTAACCATGGACTGCCCTCTATGGCTATCCTCTTTGCTACCTCGGTTGTTTCATCCAACTCTTGTCTCCCCTCATTCAACAACCTTCTCAAAATTGACCAACATATCAACACATCATAAATTTTCCATAGACCGACAACTCTTACCTCATTTTTTTCCTATTGAGAAATAGTGAACTACTTGTAATTGAAAATCATAGAAAATAGATAATCTACATTAACAAACAAAACTATGGGTTTACTTAATTGAACCCTCTAAGGCCGCCTCTTGAAATTTTTTTGCTTATGTATCTGATTGTTGTTCTTATATTATCTTTTTGTTGAGTTTTGTTTTGGTTACTCCATGGGCGGCGATGTTTTTGAGTTTGACGAGTCTATCACTCTGATCCAGAGATCAAAACACTGATGACAATTGACCCCTTTGCTGTTTCATGTGAAATGTGTCGTTTTATTTCTTCAAGTGGGTATATTTCTTCAATTGCGTGTTTAAATGTGTATGTACACACTTGTGTATATGACCCTTATGTACACACTTTTGTATATGGTGCGGTTCATTGTTCTATTCTGCTTTGCTTTGTGGTTTTTGATGTTTTGGGGCAAAATTCATATTGAGAATTTTGTGTGAACTCCTCTCGATATATACACTGAATAAAAAAACTTCTGCGTATAAAAAAAAAAAACTTAATTGAATCCATAAAGTGAAAAACAAAATTTTAATTGTTAAATCCTTAAAAATAATTCATTAGATCACAACATAAAATCCACAAAAATAAACACATTCATTCATCATCCACATATATATCTAGAGGGATATAAGGAGAAACCCACAATAGTGTAAGCAAAGTTGCAATTCCTAAAAGTGGTAGCACAATGAATTCAATCCATAAAGAAGGCTAGCTAGAAACGATTGCAATATAAATTATATGCCCATTCAATGCATAGAACATAATCTAATCTATATAAAAACTAATCCAATTTCATGACTCCAAACCAAGCTAATTCACTTTTTCCCAACTGAATATTAATTGCCTATATGCACCATTTTGAATCAAGTAACCAAAACAATCAACTATTGAATTTAAACCCAAGCACATTTATGGACAACCTTTAACGAAATATATAAGCCATTGTGAGACTTACCTTGAAGCCCTTGTTGAAAGATAGCAAATGAGAATGAACTTAGTTCCTCTAAATCCATCATCATTTAAAGTAACTGGCTCCCTAAACAATAAAAATTCTTATGAAACATAATCACAATTAAAAATATGCAATCAATAATGAAGCAAATGCATTATTGATGATGCAAGTCACAATAAGGAACATGAATTCAGACATGGATGTCAATAAAATGGTGCACTGTCAGATTCAATTAGGAAAAAATAAAAATATGATATTCACACCATAGATATCAAAAAGTATACCTAACATTTCCATCAACAAAAAGTTTGTTTGTCAAATACCATGGATATCGATTACACGAATTCAAATCATAACAGCAAAACTAATTCAATAACAGTAAATAAGGGAAATAGTAAATGGTGGTGGGTTGTGGTGGTCAAAGGGTGGAACTGGCTTGCTGTTAACCTTGGTATAATTTTGATTGGTAGGTTACTCAAGTACCTTACAATCCTTTTGTCAAACACATAATATTTACTTTATCAAATTAACAATGGGTGGTTCAAGTACCATATAATCCTTTTGTCAAATGCATTATACACACTTTATTAAACTAACAATAATTTTAATTCAATAATCAGGGTGGTGGTGGCTGGAGGTAGAGGTGCAAGGGCTGGAAATGTTTGGAGAGAAGAGAGATAGAGAGAGGATGCAGACTGTTGTGTTTGATTCTGTCTGCGTGTGTGTGAAGCAGCGTGTGTCAATTTTTGTGTGTGTGTGTGAAAGGTTGTTGGGGTTAGGACAGAGGGTAAGAGAGATAGGTAAGCTGGTGATGGTGGCTAGGAACAGAGAGGGAGGATTGGCAAAAAGAACTATCAATCCTATAAGATTCCAGTTCAGAAATTTTTGTAACTCATTTGTAACAAACAAATACCAAAATTTCAAATCAAAAAATGGAAAGGTGTAATAGGAAGAAATCTTACCAAAGAGCTTCATCACTGATTCCATGAGTGAAGCATTACCAAAGCGCTTCTCAACCTTCAAAACACACACATATCCTCCTCTTAATCAAGTAGTATTGTTAACCCTTAAAGCTTAACACCAAAGAAATTAAACTATGAAAATCAAGAATCAAAAGTGTGCCTATTGTTCATTCAATCCAAATAACCATGTTTCCATGAGAAATTTCATCAAACTAACCATGTGCATAACCAAAGATGTAGCATTTGTTCAATACATAATCAAAAGGAATTTCATGCTAGAAAACACCATGCCAAATTGCACAAACAATGAATGAATGACCACAACACCATAAATTGCCAACTAACAAAACTGGGTATTTACACAATTTTATAAGCAAAAAATTTGCTCAGAGTTCAAGAATTCACTAACCACGGCAAATCTTGAAAGTGCAAGGTTCATCTCAAAAATTCCAGGTTATGAATTATTTTAGTCATACAAATTCCTTCTCACTAAATTTGTTTCTTCATTCAATTTTTATTGAAAGAAGATTGCTGGATGTAAAGTGCTTTGTTTTACCTTGGTAAAGGATTATCCATTTTTATCTTTTATCTTCTGCTATCTTTGGCAAGCCAGAGGTCATTTACAGTGTTCCAAAAATTAGTTCCTATACCTTAAAATGCTAGGGAGTTCTAATCCAATCTTATATTTTGTGGGTCTAACCATGCATGTTTTAGTCAACGGTGCAAGCATACAGAATGTCCAGAGGGATTGAAGATAGACCAGCCCCTGCCTAATGTCACCTTGATATAATTTTGGAACATGTGTGAATAAAGATGATGTGAAAAGTGCATGAGATCAGTTTAGAAGTCATTAATTAACTTTCATGCAAAATGCATATCCCTTTCACCATCTGGAAGTGATGAAAGTTTGCTCGACTCTGACAGAGAACTGGAGATGACACTTTGAGACAACAACTGGAAGACGTGAACTCGCTGACAGAGGAACTGATTGATAGGACTATGACCAAATTTTTAGAACAGGTGAAAGATGGCAGTTGGACAACAGGTGGATGGTCTCAAGTAAACACTGACTACTCAGTGTCAAAACTTGTTGTGAATGCATACACAAGGTTTATGGCAAAGACACTTTCAGATCGCCCAGAGGGTCAGAAGATATACATCAATTGTAAATCAATTAAAATTTAGTGAAAGAATCAATTAAAATCCAAGAGAAACATAATTTCAACACATTATACCCCAAAAAATAGGTACACAAAAAATTCATAATAATAATAATAAAAAATAATGGTAGATTACACAAAATTTCTCTCATTAATTCCAACAAACACTTGGTGTCCAACAAACTCTCGTTGTTTGTTTATGCTCTGTGTGTGTGTAAGCGATGTGTGTGATGTGGGTGCGTGGGTGCTGGGTCTGTGTTAGGTGTGTGTGTGCTGGGTTTGTTTGTGTGTGTGTGTGATTTGTGTGTGCTGGGTTTATTTGTGTGTTGTGCGCTGTGGGTGTGTCTGTGATTGTGAAGTGAGAGAGAGAAGTGAGCGAGCAGAGACGAGGTGGGGGTAGGAGAGAGATGAGGCATACCTGGGAGGGGTTAGCAGCGACGGTGGTGTTGCTAGTGGTGTCGCTGGAGCGTAAGAGAGAGAGAGAGCGATAAAGAGAGAGAGGCTAAGTGCCGATAGCTGCGGCGGTGTTGGTGGAGTTGCTGGTGGTGTTGCTGGAGCGTAACAGAGAGAGAGAGAGAGAGAGAGGGTAAGGAGTAACAGAGGGTGGGAACAAGAAAAGAAGAAACAGAAGTAGGCTTGTCGGACAGAAGGGAGGAGAAAAACAATAGAGATGTCCCAAGCGGCAGAAAGATGGCTGTCTCACAGGTAAAGTAACCGAATTGGTCAAATTTTTGAAAAAAATTATTGGTAAAATATGATGAATTTGCGGGGAAACGAGAGGTTAGGGTGGTCATCGGATAAATTGATTTGAGACCGTTTGATTGGTTTGTTGAAATCGTTCTGTTATATGTTATAGAATTATAGAATTTTGGTGTATTATTGTATATTTTAATATATTAATGTGTATATTTTTAATATATTAATTTACGTGTATTTATATTTTGATGAACTATTAATATGTGTGTATTTTGATATGCTAATATATTTATTAAAAATTTTAATTATTTTATAAATTAATCGCCCCTTGTATCAATATTTTAAGCTTAAATAGCAGCAGTCCACAATGAAAATATCAAACAGAGTCAGTTTTTGACGGAGACGAAAAAAATGAAGCGAGTATGGGGTGAGAGAGGCTCGAACTCTCGACCTCAGGATAACTTAGAAGCTATGAGACCTACGCGCTAGCCAACTGCGCCACCACCCCAATGTTTCAATTTTTCTAATTCAAATAATTTTCTATAAATAAAATCTAAACAAAATCAACAAATTTGTGTGTGCTAACCTCGTCCTTATTTTGTATTCTAGTTTTTTTAACAAAAATTGTATCAACTAGTACTTTTATACTCTAATCAGACCCACTAAAATTAACAATCTTGTATGGTATACTTTATTTAGACTGAACTTCTTATTATACAGAGACTAATAAAAGTGCAATTATGACCAGTTTGATAAATTAAGAGGTGAGTTCAGTTCCAACTCAATATATGAAATGTTCATCCTTAACCAATCTAACCTAAGTGTCTAATTGATCACCTTTACTCCGACCTCAACCATGATTAAATTTGCAAGTTGAGTAGATTAAGTTGATCAATACGAGTTTCAATGCAAGTCAACTTAGGGAAATAGTTTGAAAAGATCCGTACAACATCAATTAGATTAAAACTGTAAGAAGAAAAAACTAAAATATAAGAGAATCGTTATCGACTCTATTGTGGTGTGATTATACATAATGTAAAACCAAATTTCGGAGCAACCCGCCAAAAGTCAAAAACCAAATCAACTCTATATAAACACATCCAACACAAGATTAACTCATCATGGTGGGATCACCACTTCAAATTTATCAAAATAAAAACATAAAAAATGAATTTNCGACTCTATTGTGGTGTGATTATACATAATGTAAAACCAAATTTCGGAGCAACCCGCCAAAAATCAAAAACCAAATCAACTCTATATAAACACATCCAACACAAGATTAACTCATCATGGTGGGATCACCACTTCAAATTTATCAAAATAAAAACATAAAAAATGAATTTAAACCCACTTAGGTTTTTTTCTTTCCTAGCTCAATTCAAGCACTCTAAGCCACCAATTGGTAAGCTTTTTAACCTTTTTTTTTTTTTTTTTGTAAAAAAGAAATAAATTATAGTGTTTGTTTTTGCACCAAAAAAGCAAACATTTAAAAAGCAAATAAAAAAAATAGTCTTTTTTTGAGAAGTAAAAAATTTGCTTTTCTTAAGCAAATAATACAATGTTACTTTACAAAATAATAAGTGTTTGATTCTCAACAGATTTAAGCAAAATATATTAATACACTAAAAAAAACATGCACACACACAGGGTCGCCCCAATGGGTAGGTAATTTAAATGTTTGCATTAAGACCCTCAAAAAAGAGAGACCCCAGATAATGTTATGATTTTTGAGAATTAATGTTATATATGACCTAAAAAATTTAATTTGTATAGAACCAATTAAATATATATCAGAAAAAATCCCAAACTAAAATAAATAAAAAAAAGTCAATCATCTTTTTCCTTTTAATCAATATTTTACTCCTTTTAGCTTTTAAAAACTCTTTCAAAAGTCAGTTTAATTTTTCTCATTTTAGCTTTTAAGAATCTCTCTCTCTTTCTCCAATTTTTACAATTGAACACCATTAATGACTAGCCTACATCACCTATACAATTATTGTGTCACAAGAAAGATTGAATGAATTAGTCTTATTATCTATTAAAAACGAAATATTAGTGAAACTTGAATGTAAAAGTTTAATCACTAAATTTACATCACAAAAAGCAAAAAAAAAAAAAAAAATGATGTTTAAGTAAAATATTAATCATATAATATATTTATAATAAATTTTATGAGGGCCTCATTTAAAGATTTTGCATAGCCCATTTTCAGAGCTGGTCCTGCACATACACTAATACACCAAAATACATGCACACACTATTACACGATACACACATGCATTAATACACTAAAAAAATACACACTCTCTAATACACCAAATATGCATGCACATACTAATACACCAAAATACACGCACATATTTTAATACACAGAAATATACACACGTAAACTAATACAACAAAACCCATATACACATATATTAACACATCAAAACACGAAAACTAATATACCAAAATATAAACACTAATACACCAATAATACAAATACACTTCTTATTTTAACACACACACNAACCCCATTTTCAGAGCCGGTCCTGCACATACACTAATACACCAAAATACATGCACACACTACTACACGATACACACATGCACTAATACACTAAAAAAATACACACTCTCTAATACACCAAATATGCATGCACATACTAATACACCAAAATACACGCACATATTTTAATACACAGAAATATACACACGTAAACTAATACAACAAAACCCATATACACATATATTAACACATCAAAACACGAAAACTAATATACCAAAATATAAACACTAATACACCAATAATACAAATACACTTCTTATTTTAACACACACTAATGCACTAAAAAAACACACACACACAATCAATATAACAAAAAAAAAACACACACGTGCAGAAAACTAATACACTAAAAAACTTCACATTAATACGCACACAAAACACAACCACATGCACATTCACTAATACTCTAAACACATGCACACACATTCATACACCAAAAATACCCACAAATCATAAAAGTTTATAAAATTTCATGGGATGGATAACTAATCAAATTCTCGCACCACAAGAAAGGTGCAATACCCTCAAATTGCATACTTAGGTTAATAGTGTTTGTGCNCACACACAATCAATATAACAAAAAAAAAACACACACGTGCAGAAAACTAATACACTAAAAAACTGCACATTAATACGCACACAAAACACAACCACATGCACATTCACTAATACTCTAAACACATGCACACACATTCATACACCAAAAATACACACAAATCATAAAAGTTTATAAAATTTCATGGGATGGATAACTAATCAAATTCTCGCACCACAAGAAAGGTGCAATACCCTCAAATTGCATACTTAGGTTAATAGTGTTTGTGCATGTATTAGTGAGTATATGTCTTTTGGTGTATTAGTATTGTGTAGATATTTAGTATTTTTGGTGTATTAGTGGGTGTATATATATATTTTAGTGTATTGGTATGGGAATGCAAGTGTGTATATTTTTGGAGTATTAGTGTGCTTGTGTTTGTGCGTATGTGCTTGTGAATTAGTATGTGTGCATGTGTGTTTTGGTATGTTAATAAGTGTGTCTTTGTGTTTCAAAGATACTTATTAAACATTTTATATTTTGTGCTTTGCTTTTAAGCAAAAAGATTTTTTTTTAAGTTTTTTTTTGTTTCAATGCTTTAAGAAAGTGTTACCAAGTAGAGGCTAAATCTTTTCAGCCTGAGTAGGATTTTGTTCATGTAAAAGCTAGAATGNAATTTTTTTTGGTTTCAATGCTTTAAGAAAGTGTTACCAAATAGAGGCTAAATCTTTTCAGCCTGAGTAGGATTTTGTTCATGTAAAAGCTAGAATGTGTAATTGGCGAGCAATAACACAAGCCTTACTCGATACCAATTACATAGGTTTGACTATAATATTAAAAAAAAAAANTTTGTGCGTATGTGCTTGTGAATTAGTATGTGTGCATGTGTGTTTTGGTATGTTAATAAGTGTGTCTTTGTGTTTCAAAGATACTTATTAAACATTTTATATTTTGTGCTTTGCTTTTAAGCAAAAAGATTTTTTTTTAAGTTTTTTTTTGTTTCAATGCTTTAAGAAAGTGTTACCAAGTAGAGGCTAAATCTTTTCAGCCTGAGTAGGATTTTGTTCATGTAAAAGCTAGAATGTGTAATTGGCGAGCAATAACACAAGCCTTACTCGATACCAATTACATAGGTTTGACTATAATATTAAAAAAAAAAATTACGATCGTGTCACTTATTATTTTTTTGGATATTTATTTTTGTAAAACATTAATTTTTGGAGTGCACCCGGCACCCAAT